CTATGCACCCAATTTAGAGGGAGAATATGAGACCTTCCTTGAGGAAATGCAGTGTGCTCTGTTAGAAGTGCTGAATACAGAGTCCCTCATACTCATGGGCATGTCGCAGTAGACGCTGAAAAGTGGAACGACGTGATTGGTAAAAACGGCCCTAGGGACCACAACAACAATGGCTTGAAGTTGCTGCGGATTTGAAAAGAACAACAGACTGTGTATTTTGAATATTTTCTTCGAGCATCGAAGTGTGCTCGGTATACCTGGTATAGGGAGGTTTTGATTTAATGGTCGTACCGTCTGACTTACGTCGGGAGCAGAGCTGTCAACCGATCATCACCTGGTCAAAACCCTCCTTCGTAAACGATGGAGCATTGTCGAAGACATAATGCAGAAAACAACTAGAAAATCAAATGGGAAACATTGAGTTATGCCATTAAGAGGGTGAAACGCGTAAGCTTTATCGCAATGATGACTGCTGGCGTGAAAACTGAGTAGAAGCTCTTTAAGAGCGGCTTACTCGTGGATGCTGCCGTTTATGATTCGCCTGCCGCTTGTAGGAAACGAACATCTTGTTTAACACCAGAGGTTCGACTGGCTGTCGGTGAGATGAATACTGTATTCAAGAGTTAGCTTGGAACCAAAGTGCTTTCCACTCGATTATGGTCGATGAGGAAAGCTAATGCGGTTTCTTGGGAAACATTCCGTGAGGTAGTGCACTCGAATATCTTTACTGAAAAAGAAACATGATATTCTGGCACATAATACGCCGTCTCAAAGATGGAAAGAAGTTTCTGAGTCCTGGAGGACAAGTCATAAAAATGAGCATATACTTTGACGATGGATACAGTAATTTGAGGAACCCTTTTATCCTCAGCAACCGCGTGGAGACTGATCTGGAGAACAGCGGGCAAGGAACATTGGTCTATCAGCAGACGAAGTCAGAGAATCTGTAAAGACTTGAATTGTGGCAATGCAACTGGTATCACTGAAGTACCTTCTTAGCTGCTAAAAGCTTTAGGCAAACACAGCGTGTTGCTACTAACACGTGTCTGTCAAACTTCAATGCCTACACGGAAGGCACTGGCGAACTGGAGAACAGATGTGATAGCACCCTGGCCAAAACGGAGATCGTCTGGACTGATTTAATTTTCAACGCACTGCCTCGTTCAGCCTGCCAGGAAAGTCCGATGGAGCATGTTATGCCCCACATGACTCATTCTAGGTCAGATTTCAAAAACAGATATGTTTTTTAAAGTATGGTTATAAATGGTCCCATTTAACAGCTTTTTTTTGGGGGGGGGGGTCATTGAGTACGCGTTCTTGGGTGTGAATATGATATATGCAGGAGCCTCGGCTTTGCAAAATCGGAATCACAGTTCACTCACTTGAGACGAGCACTTTCAAAGTCTGTCACATGGTGCTCCTTGCTGCAGTCTAATCCTTAAACTCGACCGATTCCTCGTGTAAATAACTCGAAGCTGATATACCTCCTGATTCCAGGATTGCAGTGCGAGAAGAGTGAGCAAAATATGTATTGCAATTTTGATCGAAATACCATCGTTCATCACCTCTGATCCTTCTTCTTAAATAATTGGAGGGGGTTGCATAGCGTGGTCTCAATTTTGTTGCATTTGTCATTCATGTGAAATTTGTCGCAACAGGCTTCCATGTTTTTCTTTCAGCCCATTGTCCCCTCTGAGGCAAGATCATTGTGCACAAATCCGTTATTGCCTATGTTCGTCGATCATCCAACGGTCATGCGATGCGATCTGTCGGTTGTCGTTTCCAGACAAAGTGCTGCTTTCCCGTACGTTTGTTTATTTCTCTATTTCGCAGCTGATCATTGAGGGAAATTCCTCGCAGCCTCGTTTCCATCGTGCGATGCCGCACTCTTAACAGTTCTTCATGTTAATTAATGTTTAAATCTCGCAACCGTGTATGGCTATTGGCCATGTTGCTTTTCCACGTGTAGCTATGTGGTTTTCATTCTTGAAAAATGTCAGCATGCATTTCTTCGAACATACTTCAAGAAGAAGACTCTTTCTGTGAACCCTAGACCAACTCTCCGGGTGTTCGAGATTGTGTCAAATGAGGACATACCTCTATTTGGTAACCAGTGATGATCCCTGTAGCTGGTTTTCTGAGTTTGTTTCTGATTATCTTCACTTTAACCTTATTTTTCAAAAATCGAACATGCTTTCTCTTCATCTCTAACTCATGCAGTATGGATTCAACTTATTTTAGCCCTTGTCTTCAGAAACCGTTGACCCAGCAAAAAGATGATGAACGTGCAGTCGCTGTTGACTAAAAAATGCAATTATGTAATTACATCATCTTGATTAATGTTGTCTAATTTTCTAATAATTCATAATAACCAGTTTGGCGTCAACGCACCGCATGATCAAGAAGCAGGGATATCCGGCGTTATGAATTGAACTGGTCAACTTAAGTGTGCGCATATTTTTAAATCACGTATTAAACTCGTATTATAAATCATGATTTTTATCACAAAAAGTTTCTGTATACTCGATAATGCAGTCTGTCACGTGACTGACCAATACCATTATATTTCAGCATGGATCACACGACCTGTCTGCTACTCAAAGTGGTTGGTGGTTTTCGTTGTTGCAGATTTGGTTTGTAGCAGCAGGCTTGCGACCAGGTATGCCTACCAGGAGTGCTTCAGAGGCGAACCGAAAAGTCGGTGTCCATTCTGCCATTCAGCTGACCACCATTCGGCGTTGTGTATGAATGGTGCGGTTCATGCTGTCTTTCTCAACGTGGCTGCCAACGCAGTATCAAGGCCATCTACTGTTTTACATTGTGATAATTAAATAACGCAAATTTATTCATTTAACAGATGTAACCATTCAACCTTTTGATGGTCATTATATCTGTTACTGAATTATACTGAATTATTTGTTGAATGTGTATATAAATAAATGTTGCGACGTTTCAGGCTGTATTTGGTAATGTAGAAAGTTTACCTAATAAAATATGCATGCAGAGCGATCCGTCAAGGCAGCAACGATTATCGACTTAACGTTTCGTATGAAACATTATAGAGTTTCCGGTCATTCATTTCTTTAATTGCAGTTTGACAAGTTTCATGTAACAGGAACAACAACGGTTGCACCAGGAGCTGATTGTCGCATAGGACATTTAGATATGAGGTAGTTCCAGATGATTTGCAGGCCTGTGAGGCGCTTGCATCAAACAGCGTTGTCGTACCACTCACTCTGTATTTATGACAGCATGTGAACACAATGTTGTTTCCATTGTTCGCTTGTCAACAACCTGCTAACCGATCATCCGGTTGTATTGAAGAAGCAATACAGTGTGAATTCATTAATCAGATGGAATTTGAGACGAAGACAAATTTGTTACTGATTCGAACTTGGGGTCTGAAGCTGATCTCTGTCCATTATACCCACCCCTCGGAGTAGTAATATCCTTATAATGTATGTAAAATAATAAAAAGAAACGTCAGCAGAAATTA